TTCTTCCCCTTGGCATTCTTCAAGGCGAAGAGAGAGCTGACGTCCATGTTATTACCTGCAAAAACAAGACACAGAATGGTTAAACCGAAGGGTGTCAGTTACAATGGCATAGAGTAAAAAAAAATGAGGGAAAGCTATCAAGGTACAAATAACCCTTCGATAATCACCTCCGGCTCCTTCGAAGACACGATCGAGGGGAGGGTATCTTTCATCCGATGAGCCCCTCGGCCTAAACTGCCGGAAGCCAAGATTAAACAATTCCTCGGGGAGAGTGACGTCCTTAATTTTGACGTGTTTGTCAGACCCCTCCGGTTTCTTGGCAAGTATTCTGCCATTCTTCTCCAGGGCCGCGCTCCCTACCTTCGGGTGGCGCCGAAAGTTGTTGCGGAGCATAGCCGGGAAGGGGTTCTCCTCCATACGTACGTAACAAAACCGCTCCTTCCACCCCTTGTGGGACGAAGGCACATCGTCGAAGAGCCTAAACTCCGGCACCTGCTGAAGGTTGGCAAAGCCCTCAGCGTTTGAATGCCCCCCTCGGCAGAGATTGAAGGACATGAAGAACTGGTCGAGGGTAGGTGGAACTCCCCGGCTCCGGCACAAGGAGAGGAAGCCGGCCACATAAGAGTGGCTGTTGGGCGTTAGCTGGCAGGGGGCCAACTCCACGAATCTCAGGTATTCCAGCAGAAAGGGGTGGAGCGGAAAGCGAAGCCCCATCTCCACCGACAGGGTGTGAACAGCGAAGCACCCTTCAGGCGCGTATCGCAACAAATCGTCTGCCCCTGGCTCCACCACGCGCGCCGAAGGGCCAACCAGGATCTGAGTGGCCTGGTACTCTGCCGGGGATGCCCTCGTCTTCAGCTCTAGGGCAGCGGTGTTCAGGAACGAATGGCCCTCAGGTATGCCTACCGGCCGCCCGACATCTACGGCCGCTTGTTTTTTCTTCAGGGCAGCCCTCGTCTTCTTCTTTTTCCCGGGAGCCACGCTGATGGGCGTCAGGTTCAAGGGCCGGGAAGAGCTGGATTCCCCGGCACCGCGAGGGGGAAGGATAGCAACCGTCACCTTCATCCTCTCCTTCTCCTCTTCCTCTTCAGCAGTCTGCACGGCAAGGGCAAGCTCTTCGTCCTCATTCACCTGCTCGAAGTCTTCGGCTTCGACCTCGGCCCTGAGGTCCTTCTCCACCTCCATGGCCACAGCAGCGTCATCACCCGCCGAAGACTCCTCGCTCGAAGGATCGACGTCGGAGTAGGTTTCTGTCTCAACCGAGGGATCCCTCGAAATATCTTGGGAATCACTTTGCGAGGACATTTTGTACTAAATCGAGGGTCGAAGGGAGGTCCTAAAAGCTCTAAGCTACGGGCACTTAATCTAAGGCCAAAAAGTGAGGGGGAAGCGAAGTATGCAAGAATGACCGAAAGCGAGGCAAAAACTGACCTTGAAAGCTGGGGATTCAACCGAAGGCTGGATTTTCTCTCTCTAGAAATTTGGGCAGAGCTTCGCTAACAACAAATGATCGCACAAGAGAAGTGATGCCTGGCCATGGGGTATTTATAGGCGCCCAGATCCGGGCTTGGGCCTGAAAACCGGGCCTCCGGTTACAAAGTCATCATTACAAGCCGTGGTTTTGCCCAATCGGTAACGCCGCCCGCGGGCAGCCAGCCTTCGGGCTCACTCCTTCAGAAGCCCACGGCCTCACAACTGACAGACCCCTCGGGGATTCCCCCCTCAACACCTTGAGGACCAGGTAGCCCCCGGGGAGCACACCTCATTGACGGATAGCCTACGGCACACAGGTAACGGGAGCCCTCAGGTATCCACCTCACCAACTGATCAACAAATGGGGGACCCCCCGGTAACACTACAACTACTACTCACATTCATCACGCCCTCGATCCCCAGATTGAGGGACTCCCCTTCAGCACCTCCAAAGATATCAACAGCAAGCCTCCGGCTAATCAACACACACGCCCCCCAGAACAAGGATAGCCTTCGGCATCAGCATTGTACTCCATTTCAATCCAAGACTTCTCCTTTTCGATTCATCGTTGGGGGAATTCGATGCACTCTTTTTCCCTCATTAGGACTTTTTCCAACAGGGTTTTTCCTAATGAGGTTTTTAACGAGGCATCCCCCCAAAATGAAACGAAAAGCGTCAGCCTTCGTTCCAATACAACAACATGATTACACTACTCCTTTTCACCACTTTGCAAGTGCCTCAAGGAGTGGGGGACTGGAGAACCCCCTCGGGAAAAATCACAAAAAAGTGCAAAATGCTAAAAACTCCCGCAAACAGCAAACATGCCCCCTCAATTCCCGACATGTGGGTAACTGAGGGACTGCCCGCGGCAGAATAAACAAACAGCAAACTACCCACAACTCTACAAACTACTACGGAACAACGGCAGAGGACAAACATAATTACTCCTTTTCCCTCAAGTACCTTTCGGCAAAAGGAGTGAGGGACTCCTGATGGAGTATATGGCCCGGGAACCCCGGCCCACAGACTCCTACTACTCCAATAAAGGCCCAATAGACCCAGGAAGCACAACAGGCCCAAATCACGACGCCCAGAGTACCAAGCGGCCCACAATGCGCACCAGGGGTGCCTTCGCCCCCTGGCCGAAGGTTCTGAATCTCACAGGAGGGTCAAATGAGGAAGACAAGGTTACTGGGAGAAAACGGCGAAAATCAGTAGCCCTCGGCACCTAGAGCCCTCGGCACTAAGGGGGTCCCCGGTACTCAGAGCCCTCGGCTAATCATCTACAGCCGAGGGCACCTTTCCGACATAATATCCGCTCCACATGCGCGTAGATCACCGTACCAAGTACGACGTCACATCCAACAGCCGCATTAAATGCGGCCACATGCGGTTGCCAGCGCCAACCAGTTGAGGTGACCCCTCGGCCAATGGATACTTGACACGTGTCCCCATCTGGCATTTATTGCTACTATAAATAGCACCCCATTTCCCCGTTGTAAGCCACGTTGAAAACGCTGAAAACGCTGAAAACGCTGAATACATTTTCTAATATACTCTCTCTCTACTTACTTACTCTGACTTCTCTCTACTTATTCCCCGTAATAACCCCTCGGATAAGCTACCCCCCGGGTACACTATCCATCAATACTGGTTTTCCGTAGTAGTGTATATTTAGCCATTTAGGTATGATAATGTAGAATATAAGAAACAAGGAAGCTAAACTTTAGGGGAAGGAGTTCACTATTGTGCTAAAAGGATTATATTACATTTACATTCAGTGGATTAATGGCGGTTTTGATGTAATGATTTTTTGCGTAAATTTCACTTAGTAGTTACACACACATATTCTCTAATTTCCATTTATCTCCCCAATAGTTTCTTAATTACTTTCTTCTCCATAATCACACCCAGTAAACCGACTTGGTCAACAACATCAAGTCAAGGCTTCAATGATACACAGAGTAGGCATGACCTCGGTTCGGGCTGGACCGGGCCTTGATCTGGTTCCAACCGGGCTTTTTTTGGAGAAGTGAGGCCCGGAAACTGGCCCGGGTAGCTCTGGGCCCGGGTCGAGCTGGTTCACAGGCGGTTATCGGGCCAGGTTGGTTCACCCTGATTTTTTTTCTAATTACTTCCTCCCCCACCCCCACACCCGAAACCCCTTCAAAACACCCACCCAACCCATTTACCTTTTAAAAAATGTGAAAAACAAAAAATGGCCTGAACCGGCCCCGAACCGGCCATTTACCCGGGCACCGGGCAGGGCCGTAACAGTGTCGGGCCGATTACGGGCTGGTAAACCCGGCCCGATTCCAAACCTAACACAGAGTAGTATATTCATTTTTTCTACTCTGGTTAGTTACCAATTTGGTCACCCTAAAGTCTAAACACGTTTACAAATTACAAGTTCCCTTAAGTTTGGGCCATAACGGTTGCAGCTTGTGAGTTGTGACAACAGGAGTCCAAGACATCAAGTTTAAGTCATTTGTGCATAACCAAGGCATGCAACTTTTTAATTGCACAAGCTAAGGGAGATTTGTTTACAAACATTTAATGGGTGCACATTTAAAACTATAGCATGCAGAAGCAAGCTTATAATATCATCCAAAGTCTTGGGCTTTAGTTGCATATTGCAAGTATATTGAAAGAAATTAGGAAAGTTCTGCAATACATAAAGCTCACAATGCAAATTAAGTAGTATGTAGTATGAAATTAGAGGGTTTTAAGTATAAATGCACCCGCTAAATGAGTCGAGAATACCATAAACCGATAAATGCTTGCACAATACCATTCTTTGAAAGACGAAAGATGTGTCACAATACGGAAGGAATAATGAGAATATAAACTGCAAGTCTATGTTGCACGTAGGCATGTCCTCGGTTCAGGCCGGGCCGGGCCTCGGTCCGGTTCTGACCGGGCTTTTTTTGAAGAAGTGAGGCCCGGAAACCAGCCCGATGGTTACCGGGCCGGTTCACCTTTTTTTTTATTTTATAATTACTTCCTACCCCCCACCCCAAATCCCTACAAAACACCCAGCCCAACCCATTTACCTTTTAAAAAAATGTGACCCCCCCCCCCCCCCCCCCAAAAAAAAAATGTCCCGAACCGAGCCTGAACAGGCTGGGTCGGTTCATTAACTGCAAGGCGCGAGAACCGCCCCTCTACAGTGCCGGTCCGGGTGGCCTGAACCGGTCACAGAACCGCGGATCGGGCTGGTCCGAGCCGGAACAGTGCCGCTTCGGGCCGGTTCCGGTTCGGTTAACCCGGCCCGAGTCCATCCTTAGATGCACGCATACGTCAGCTTTTAATAAAATATTAAAAAACAATTGTTTGGAGAGTCTTTAAAATATTAAAACCATGCGTAAACTCATTTTAGTTGTTCTAAAACCATGGTTAAACTCATCATCCTTCATACAAAATTTGTGACACTGATTGAGAGACTTGGTCACTGCAGTAGTGACTAGTGATTAACGTCAATAAAAAAAATCTAGAAGACTGCCACACAGATATTACAAAAAAAAGTTTCAGTTATTGATTCTCACATAGCAGAAGCATTATTATTGCTACAAAGGTGAAATTCCGTCCAGAGTGGTGAAATTCAGCGCTACTACATAAGTTACACTCTGAAAATGGGAGAAGAAAAGAGGAGATGATAATGATTGGAATGGACATCCTTTGATTGAAATTAAGCAGCCAAACGGGAAAGGGCAACCAGGGCAGGGGAATAATCGGGCTGGACTTTCAGAGCGTCCTCGTAACACTTTTGGGCCTCCACTTTCAACTCTTTCTTTTCATAGCACTCTCCCAACAGACACCTGGCCTTGACGTCATCCCCTTTCAACCAGACCGAGTCGACCAGGTCCGCAATTGCCGAGTTGAATTCCCCATCCAGACTTGTCGCGATCCTCAGCGTCGCCCGCTTGTGCAGCGCTTCCGCCCTCTCGGATTCACTGAGCGATTTCGCCGCCAGCGGAGACAGGGCGACATCCATCGTGCCTATAGCAGAGGTTTTGAATCCCTGGACCTCGAGATCCATGGCCTTGAGAAAGTGAGGTGCCGCGTCCTGTCGAGCCCAATCGCTCGATCGGTTTCTTCCTCGGCTGACTTGGCGAGCGAGATTCTCATCGATGACGACAACTCCTTCCCGGACCTGGCTCGATCCAGGCGCTGCGCGCCCAATACGAAGTGGCGCCTCGCTTGGATAGTGCACGATTGGCTCCGAGTGCGGAGCTTAGTGAAGATGGTCTGAGGGATGTTGTGCATAGAGAGAAACATGATGACGACGAGCAAAATAAGAGCAGCCTGTAGAAGAAGATCGGCCCACATCTTGGTCAGTCAGTTGATAATTACTTTTCCCAGTAGATGTGAATGAATGAAGAGGATGAGAAGGAGGCTCTGCCCCTGATCGGGAAGACGACATGCTATACACATATAAAAATATACTCCTGGTGGATTGTAATGAAGTTCATATGAATATTAGGGAAAATCGCACATTTGACCCCCCAATTATTCTCCATATTGAAAATCACACATATAAATTTCACATCCTTTTCGTTTAAAAAGTCCTAATTTGAATTATCCCAACCCTTTATCCCGCTTATCCTCCCAAAATCGAAATGCTAAGCTTAATACTGTGCTCTGAGTTTTTTCCGCCAAGTCTCCATTGCCATGGACGTTCGAACGCTGAAGGTATATTGATGCCAGGATTCCGCTTTCAAGGTCGAAGCTGTGAAGGAAAGAAAGATGACCAGTCGAAGACTCAATGGGTTAAACGCGACTCCAAAGTGTAAGTACGCAAACCAAACTTCTTTATTGTTATATATGGGGACGTTTGTTAATGTGAAAGGCAATGACATGTATGGGTTGTATGGTATCTGAAGTTGACATGCACACACTTACATGTAAGAATTTGGTGTTGAGTGTTGGTGTCATTGCTTTGAATAACGAAAGTGTAGAACGTAAAGTGCTTTGCTCGATGGCTTCGTATTTATATGTTATTGTATTTGAAGGGTTGATTTGAATTGTTAGGTGTATTTAAGGTTTCATTTTATGTTTTTTTCAGTATTTGTTATGATTTCTAGAAGAATGAAGTGTTTGTATTACTTGAATGTGCTTTGTAGATACAAAGGATGAGAGATATACTTACACAATCAAAATGCATTATGCTGGAGATTTGGTGCATGAACCATGAGCTCATTATAAGAATGGGAGAATTGAGTACTTCGATTACTTTAATGGAGAAGAGGCAAGTATGTTAGATTTAAGAAAGATGGTGAAAAAGCTAGAGTTCTGTGATAGGAAGGTTGTGTTCTGGTTGAAGTATGGGTCTGCCAAATTCCCTAGTGTGAGAAAAATAATGATAGATGAAGACCTTTTCAACATATGTTGTGAGCTTCCAGAAAATAGGGAGGTGGAAGTGTTTGTTGACCATGTCATGGAAGATCCGTTGGATTACGGGGTGGAGGTTTCTTCTTTTATAGCTGATGAGGTGCAACAGAAAGATGATGTACAAGACAACGATGCTGACAACACTACCATGAGCAACACTTCAAGATCTGCTACAAATGCAGACACATTTGAAGACAACATGTATTTTATGGGAGTGGAAGACAAAGACAAAGATACTGCCACCAGTGCCATGAACACCAACAATGAGTTTGTAGATCGGGGAATGCAAGATTGGGAAGAGAATGATTGTGTATATTCTGAAGATGACCTAAGAAGTTTGGATTCAGATTCTAATGAGGACACTGAAGAAGCTTCTGTGTTAGAAGAAAGAGACTTGAAGAAGGATGTCTTCAAATTTGCCCTTGGTATGAAGTTCAAGAGTTTCTCTGAATTCAAGTGGGCTGCCACTCAGGTTGTTTGTTGTTGTTAATTGGATAATTTCTTTTATGTTTTCATCTTTGTTTCTCACAGGCTTGTAAGTATAGTAAGTACATGTATGTTTGCTTGTCACAGACTGGTCAAAGTAATGGTGAAGGTGATGGTATAAGCCAGCCTATGTCTGATGTACACGTGCATAGTAGTGCAATGGAAACCGAAGTACCTGATGCTATATTGGCAGAAATGGTAAGTAATACTTCCAAAATGTTGAAGTTGTTTAACATCAACTTGTGCCTCATAGTGATTGTCAATTAATGTAGGACCTAATTAACTCTCAACAAAGTACTTCTACATCAACATCTAGACTGGAATCTGTAGAAGGGGATGGCCAAGAAAAGGATGCAAGAAAGACTACACAAGCAAGAAAGAATGTGAAGAAACTACCAACTCTTCGTCAAGGGCTAGCCAAGAAAAATAGAAGCCGGTGGAATGTGACCAAGAACATGTGATTTGGTTGAAGTCAGATGGCATTGGATTTATTTTTGTTGGTGTGAAACACTAATGCTATATTATGTATGGCATTATATTTTTGTCCGTGTTAAACACTCATGGTATATTTTGGTATGGCTTAACTTTTATGTCCATGCTTAACTCTCATGCTATATTTGGTACGGCATTATATTTTTGAAGGCCGTGTGACACACTTTAATGTTGTGTACCAACCTCATGTGTAAAAACTTATGGGTAAATCTGTTTGTGTATAATGAAATGGCTATTTTGTATAATTTGTATGTGGTACTATAATTTGAATGTTATATTGTATTTGTGGTTATATTATATGGGTGTTAGTTGTTTAGGTTGGAATGCTTATGAGTAATGTTTTTTTGAATTGGTCTTGTTTGATTATATTCAAAGTAGACAACAATAACAAGTGAGGAACACATTTGAACATTGGGTTTGAACATTGAATAACAACTAACACATTTGAACAAATGGTCTTGTTTGATTACATAAACTGCAAGCAAATGAATTACACAAGAAAACTACGTATTACAAACACACTTCTCACAAATGAAGTAAACAACAACTTCTCACAAAAAAAGGGTACAATTACAACAAAACTAAATATTACAAGCACACTTCTAGATACCCTTCTTTGGTCTTCTTGTCAAATGGAATTGTCAAAGTTAGTGTCATTTTCCCACCTTCGGCCATTGTAGCTTGTGCAAACATTTGTATAAGTTCACAAACATCACCTTTTACCTTTGCATCTCCACTTCCTTCACCTTCTACACTTGGACCTTCCCTTCCATTATTGCTGCTTTCACCATTTTTCCATTCAAAGTAATTGCATTGTGTGCAATTGTAGAACAATCTGCCTTTATTCTTTCCAACCTTTGTTGTAACCAAGCATCTTTTAATGCCAATTGAACAAGCATGACAATTTTTCTTGTTAGGGCATTCATCAAGGAAATGTGTTGAACTCCTGCAACTATGGCATATACCATAATTTGTCAACATATTTCTCCTGCAAAATTAATCAAACCACAAACATCATGACACTCACTCAACCCTAGACATCTGGTTCGATTTTTTGAAAAAGAAGAAGAACGAAGTATATGTACGCACCTGAAGACCAAGAACGGACGAAGGAAGAGAACTCTTCAATACTCCAAACGGCTGAAGAACGTATCAAGGAAGAGAGCTCTTCAGGGCGAAGGAAGAACGGTTGGAGAGGAACGAACGAAGTAAGGGTTGGGATAATTCGAATTAGGGCTTTTTAAACGAAAATGATGTGAAGTTACAAGTTTAACCCTGATTAAAATGAAAGATAGACGGCGTTTGTAATTTTTATAACGGCGGGGGTGACATTTATAATTATTCGCACAACTCGGGGGTGAAATTTAGAAAACCTGAAACACAGGTTTGGGATTTGAATATGGTGGATAATTGGAAGGTCAAATGTGTGATTTTCCCTTAATATTAATGGCGGTGAAGTCAACTCATCATCCAGTAAAATGGTAGGTAGCTGTCTTCTTTGACATGGGTGAAAATGTTTGGGTAAACTCAAGTCAACCTAAACAAACAGTCACTCGAGATTGCGAACCCGAAATTGAGGAATGGAATTGATCTGAACTTTCCAGGTGCATAGAATTTGGCTTGAGAAATAAACGCGTGTACTATATAAGTATGACAAAATTCATAGAAAGAATTTGTACATCAGCTTCTTCATCCAAGCCCCCCAAAAAAATCTTCTCTTATCTACCATATCTAGTAGATAGAAGTACTTGAGAAACTCCGTTAGCTCGAAAAGCTGGGATATTTAATTCCAGTTTTAATTTTTTAAACAACTCAAAACATTAACTGAATATTCTCTTGTAGACATATTTTAAAAGGAAACATTCTTGACTATAATTATACTTAATTGTGTATTAGTAAACATTATAAAATGTAATATTTTGGAAATTCATATTAATAGAAATTCAGTAAAATTTTATGCACAATAATTTGATTATATAAATTAGTAGAAAATTGTGGTCAAAATAAGATATGTGAATAGTACAAAAAGTTCTATGTTGCAACTATTAAAGAACGGATGAATTATAATTTTGGTTTAAATACTCTCTCATCCGTTCATTAAAGCTTTATCAAGTTTGACCAACACGAGAATTAATAACGTAAAAATTATGCAGTTGAATTTTGTGCAAAGGAGATAGAATTAACTTGAAAAAGGGAAAGTGACAAAGTTATTAGAACAACCAGAAAAAAAAATTGGCAAAATTTTAAGGGACGAGGGAGTATGATTTTAGTCTGTGAAAATATGGCACACTTTGTTTTTGGTCTCTGCAAAATATTTTCTCGGTTTTTTGTCCATGTAATATGCTCAATTTTGGTTTTAGTTCATCTCTAATTCCGAAACAACTCTACTTATTGTCGGTTGCATAAATCTACTAGAAACATTTAAATTTATCATTTTATATTTTCTTGAGATTAATATGAGAGTTAAAACAATATAAAACTAATTATTCCATTTTTAAAATATATATTAAAAACCTTCTAAAAATGAATTAAATACTTTTTGAATTCCATGACAAAGAATTAGATAAAACCTATTGGTCGGAGTTCTTTTATTGTCAAACAGAGGTTATTATCATTAGTAATGGACTACAAAGAAACCAACATAAACTTCAGGGATGAAAAACAAAGAGAATATTTTGCAGAGACATAAAACAAAGTGTCATATTTACAGGAACTAAAAACATATTTAACCCTACAATTTTTTATTTGATTGCAGTTGTATCATGTGTGTAACTCTTACCAATGAAACAACATTTTTCAAAACTAAATTGAAATATAGATGTTCATTGATAACTATGAAAGAGCAATGGTAGTAAATCATATCAATAAATTAAAATAATTAGCGCTCTAACATGAAGAACAGTGAGGAGGAAAGACGAAAGGGCAGCTTCCGATTTGTAATGATGATTTAATTGCACGCTAAGAATTCCAGATAAAAAGTAGAAGGTTGAAAGTAAATTATATAGAGTAAATTAAAGTGTTAATAGAAATGAAGGTTGATGGTGAGAGAGGAAGAAATGTTCTAGCTTCTTAATTTAACTGAGGAAATCAGAAGCACATGATAATTGTAAAAACTAACGTACAATTACCTAAAATGTAACTCTCGTTGGCTTTTATAAGATTTTAGATACTTTTGAATGTTACCATAAAATAGACGAATGGTATTCCTGGTTTCAAACCGAAACAGAACTGTTTATTCACAGTTCCAAAATTCAGAAATCCCGAACAGATGTAGACTTGAAGTACTACAAATGAATAAATAAAAATAACAAATAATGAACAAAGTATTACTTATAAATTTTTAGTCGCTACTAGTTGCGAGTATAATACGGAGTACTTTATTTATCCAGGACAAAGCGGGAACATGGCTTCACTGATTTGATTCACTTATTCTACTCATTAACTCTCATTGCTTCTCAGTACGTATGAACACAGAAAAGTACGCGAGAGACAAGAGATGATGACAACTAAACTATGTTTGGAATGTTCTTAACTACGGAGTCATAAAATATGTCTGAAACTTGGTATAAATTGGTATAACGAAGTTCCCAGGTGACGCTCAGAAACATTCTTGATAACAACAAATTTGTACTACGTATGTCAAAGTCCCAACCAGCTGATGCTCCTCGACAAGAATTACAATACAGATGCCCTTGCACTTTTTGTGTGTGTGATATGCAAGTTTCAGCCATAACCTAGTTATATTCTCGTGGTGGTATCTCCTCGATGACTTGGAAAACAAATATTTTTACTTTATGACTTCATAGTGTTTTGCACACTTCTCTCTATAAGTACCATAGTTGAAATTCTTCAAAAGCTGCATTAACAGCTGGGAATCTTTACTTCCCTCCCATCTGAATCAAATTTTGGGGAGACTTCAGTAGCTTCTTCAGTGTTTCCACAATACTACCAAAGGTCGGGCGTTTGGAGGGATCACTGCACAAAGAGTCGCTTTGTGAGGGAGAAGAGCTTAAACAGGACGCAACCAATGAATTGCACATACGAATTACATGATAAAATGCTAATACAAATTTATTTCCAGGGTAGCTAGAATTTGAGATAGTTAAAATAGACATTGGATCAGATATACTACATGTTATATAGAGATGCATGAATTTGAAGGCATTGAATTCAATTGAACTAGAGTAGCTATATTCTAGTGGGTCTGACTCTTGCTTCAATAATCTCCACCCAGAATATCAATTCTATTGAGTTCTCAAAGAAACTAAAACAAACTTTGTCATACAAAGACACCCCCAATAAGTAGAATCACCCACCCCTGACTTTTAGGAAATTTTCACTTTCATGAACAAACGATGACTCCTTGTAAGGTTCCATAAAGGAGTGCATTTTAATTTTCAGTCGTATCCATAATATAGGATTCAGGGTTGCATCTTCGCATTGTGTGTTAGGGAAGTACTCGTATCAATTTAAAATGCCCATTTTTCATTTTCTTTTATAAACCTGTAAATATATATTTCATCCCAAAAAATAACATGCACACATGCGTCCAAAACTATAAAGCAACCCACCGCACCGGGTTACCATCTAACCTAGTAAGCCAAAAATGTTCATTTTTCATTTTTTTAATGTAGCGAAGTACTCGTATCAATTTAAAATGCTCACTTTTCGTTTCTTTATGAACCTGTAAATATATATCATCCCAAACAAATAACATGTACACAACTACGCATGCGTCCAAAACTATAAAGCAACCCACCACACGAGGTTATTACCATCTAATCTAGTAAGCCAAAAATGCTCATTTTTCATTTTTTTAAATGAGGGAGAACCTGTATCCGACTAGTGACCCTAGCAGGAGAAGGACAATAAGGACATAAGTGAGCCTGACATAATTTATAGCCGATGGTCCCAAACCAAGAAACCCGGGATAAAACTTGGAACCAAATGGTTGCCATGCCTACGCTGCCTGAATAACTCAGGTGGGGGTTGCCCCAGGCTTTCTCATAGACAAACATGTAGGGTTCTTGATTCTCAGCACGAGGCAGTGGTGCAAGAAATACAGTTGACAAAATGGAAGTTGAGAGCTTACTCATCCCAGCAAGCTTCAATAAGAGATGCCATTGTTGGAGAAATGTTCTCTGGCATAGAAAGCCTTCTGTTTTGGAAAGCAACAGCTCCAACCACCTTATAATTGGTCAAAATTCGGATCATCCTTAGAAAGAAATTTTAAAAGTTGAAGCAGAAACAGCAAAGCATGAAGAGAAAGGTATGAGAAAGGTATGCAAACCTGAGCAGGGCAGAGTCCAGACCAAGGCTGTTCAAGGGTAATAAGCTCCCACAAAATGACACCAAAACTGTACACATCTGACTTCTCATTTGATGGTTCCCCACGAAGAAATTCAGGGGCCATCCACTCAGGCTGCATCAACATGTTGGATTCCATAAGTACTCAGAAGAACAATATAAAAGAAAAAAAACAGGTTTACCCCTTAACTTTAAGTCATTAAAGTAGTCTAATCTTGTTTTTCATAAGCTATTGAGCTTTGAAAAAAAGGAAACAAAATCTGAAGGAAATTGTCTAAAATATCTATCTCTTAAGGTCAAATCACTTCTTATTCATCATCATAAGCCATGGCAATGGAACAACAAGCCACACTAATTGCTTAAGAATAAATGTTATTACTCTTAAGCATGGCTCTAAAAATCGGCCTAGACGCCACCTAGTCGCTAGGCGGTGGCCGAACACCCCGATTTTGTTGTAATCAGTGAGAAAGATCGGCTAGGCACCTAGGCGGCTCACCATAAATTTGTTCCCGACCCAACTTAGTTTTTCCATTGTCTTAAAACATCATTTGATCAATACGAATTCTATTCCTATATTTTTTAGTATTCCGACAATAAAAAATAATTTTTAAATGAATATATATAAGGCTAAAGGGTCAAATAGGCCCTCGAACTAACTTAAAGAGTGCAAATCACCCCTTATATAGGAGGCTCTGTCCGGCCATCACCATTTGGGGCGATTCCCGGTGGAATTTTTTGATGACATTTTTTTAGAATCGTCTTCATTAAGTCTAGTTTACTCATATCAAATTTCAGCTAAAAATTCAATCGGTAAGCAGTCAAATGAGTTTTTGAAGATAACTGCGCAGTTAAACAGCGCAATACATTTCAAAAAATCATTTGACTCTCTTCCAGGTTGAATTTTTATCTAAAATTTGGTATGGGTAATATAGACTTAATGAAGAAGATGTTCAAAAAGTTTCATCAAATATTTTCACCGGGAACTGGCCCAAATGGCGATGGCCCCAAATGGCGATGGCCGGATAGAGCCTCCTATATAAGGAGTGATTTGCACTTTTTAAGTTAGTTCGAGGGCCTATTTGTCCCTTTAGCCTGTATATAAACTTTTTAGAGACTAAAAAACACAAATCTATCAATTTATCTATTAATTATTCTATTGTTGATAATTTACTACAAAAAAATTACTAGCAACATTTAATGATTATATGAGCTATTTCTATTGTCAAAATATTATTAAATTATCAGTAAATATTGCTGAAATTGTTTGGAAATATAAATAAAGCAAAGAAATAAAGGAAATACCTACGCGCCCTAGTCCGCTCTTAGGCGGGGCGGGCTAGGCGCTAGGTGACCAGTCACCGCCCGACTAGCGCCTAACGAGCGCTGCTTTTAAGAATGGGCATTTTAGACATTTTTTATTAGACTTGGACCTAGATGGAGTCAAATGAGATACATTTTACTTGTTAAGTATTAGACTTGATGAGTAACTAATTGTCTTTTGAAAACAAGGTAGGTTAGCAATTACTCCGTATAACATAACCTCAAGAGGGTAACTTCATTTTCTAAACAAAATTAGCTTATTATTAGGCTTTATATACAGGCTGAATCTAAATACTCCGTATGCAAATGCTAGAAAGGACTTACAGTTCCTGCAACTGATTTGGAAGATATGTATGTATTAGGTTTAAACCTTGACAGACCAAAATCACACACCTGAGCAAAATGATGATATAAGATAAAGTAAGCAATGTTGATAAAACAATTTCATAATTCAGTACAGTACATAATAGCGGCATATTGTTTAACCTTCACAGTCCAATTCTTGTCAACCAAGAGATTAGGAGATTTAAGATCCCAGTGAACCACAGGGGGGCTAAGGCAATGAAGATAGTTGATACCCTTGGCCTGCTTTTCATATGTGTATCAGAAAAAAATGCATGCATCGAAAAAAGAGACAATGTTTGACGTCAGGACAAACCACATCCAAAGCCATTCGTAAGCGCCTCCTTTGATCCATCATTTCCCCATTAGCTGGTCGGTGTATTAAGCGATATAGACTTCCCCTGCATCCAAAAGACAGACAAAAAAAGTTCTTAGATATTAATAAATATAATGATCATAACAGTAATGATAATGATGATATCAATGATAATACTGAGCGTTCGGAATGATTTTGGGAGTTTATGCTACATATATGTAGGACCAAATACCTAGGTAGATATTCGGTCACTATGGATAGATGTGGACGTTTAGTGACTGCACCCATGAAGAGAACCACATTTGGATGACGGACACGCTTCATTATTGCAACCTTCAAAAGATAGTTTCTTGAATCAACATCTAAAAGTTAACATTTGTTCGGAAAATCATGGAACACAAAGCACATATGCAGAGACACATGATGGAACTCCCACAGCTTTTTGTCCACCTGATATAAGGTACTTCTACGGTTCTACCACTATGGATAGTTATGCAATGTAGGAGATAAAACAAACTGTAATGTCTAGAAAGGTATAACAACACTTTAATATACATGCATGAAATCCATTTACCAAAACTTCTTACGTAAAGACTCAGCTACAAAGAAGCATTATGTGACAGTTTCTCCTTTATATTTTCCCAGTCCTCATAAAAATGAATAAATCATGACTGGCAACAAAAAAAGAAGAAAAAAGTAAATAAGCAAGAGGCTTTGATCATTTAGCTTCACTGATGCAGGCACATACCTCCCTTAGAAACTCCCTTAATTGGTCATCTTCAAAATCTTGGACAGATAGCACCTTGACTGCAACATCCTGCAATGAGGGTTCTCCCTTTTTTAATTGATACATTCTGAATATAAAATCATGCAGAAACCCTTCTCTAAATTCAAATTACATTCTGAATATACATTCTGCCAGAAACCCTTCTCTAAATTCAAATTTCTTAACGATGAAAGTTTAAATTCATTTTAAGTAACTATCTTGTTTCCAACAGCTGCATCTTATGAGTGATTTGCCAGCAATGCATACTCTGTATTGTAAGAAAAGCAAATTTACTGTGAAACTATTAAAACAAAATATGGTTGGTCATAGCAATGAACTGGGATGATCACACATGCATGTGGCATGTATTCTTAACAAAAACTACATTGCACATCAACATCTAAGTTTAGTGCTGAAATTCTTTAAAAAAGTTAATGAATTTGCTGAATGATGGCAGCCCATTCTTAGCGGGTTCATCTGCTTCATTTAATAAGCCCATTAGTCTGGTAAGTCTCAAATTAAAGAACCTTGCCTTTCTCTGAATGACCTCTCCCTTTCATATTTTAATTCATTCATATTTCAAAACTAGTGAAGTGCTTCAACCAAGGTGCAATTGAACTTAATATTCAACTGAAACAAACTACTTTAACTAAAACAAAGTTGTGGCATAGACTACTAAAAAAACAAGTTTATTACTTACGGATCCATTCCATTCAGCTCGATGTACAGTCCCAAAAGAACCTGCATCAAGGAATTTTAACTGGTGTTAGGCTGACGAAACAACAATCGGACACCATTAAGAAGACTATTGTTATTAGCACAAGTTGGGGGTCGAAAGAAAAGAGAGAAAATGTACCCGCCCCAACACGCTCCTTGATATGTAACTCATCCCATGAGATCTCGAGCCAATCCATTGCAAGAGATGGTTCAAGATTCAGGTATTTTGGAAGGGTTGCTTCCGAATGCTTCAAATTCTCAAGCGTAAACTCACTCTCCACATATTTACTTATGCTGGGATGCCCATCCGCCCCATCAGCAAATGGAGGTGGTCTAGGCTGAACAATCTCTTGTATGCTATTCTGGAATAGAACTATGCTACTTTGATCTCTGGGTTTATGATATTCATCTCTTGTAATTATACCATCTGTAGTGGTAAGTATCTCAGGTGATTTGATTTCAGAAAACTGATTTGGACTGCACCAGAAACTTTTGGGCTTGTCCATAAGGACAATATCATGCACTGGTAGATTTTCTTTTTCTGTAGATGCAAAAAGAATGAGAGTTTTGATGAGTAGCTCTAGTGATTGCACTATATCCCAAAAAGAACAAGAGTACATCCAAATATGAATTTGCAAAGTATTGAGAATTTTTCTTAATGTTCTTTGAATACAAAATGGAGTAAGTGAGTAATACTGTCTTCACAAAATTTCATGGTGCACCCAGAATGCAAAGAACAGTTATTAACACTCGGTCAGTTCTTACTCCCAAGGAAATTGCATGTTTGTATTCCTGAACGATATATTTATGGATTTCACATCCATCATCATTCATTTTCATTTTCATTTACCCCAGTGCCGCAAAGGCTCCCACCTACGGTGAGGTAAGGGGTGGTCAGATGTACGCAGTCTTTCCCCTGTACTAAAGCACATAGAGACTGTTTCCGGATGACCCATAGTACAAATCCCGTCCAAAATTGCATGGACTGACTGCTGCTTCATAACAAAGAAGCGCAGACAGTTTAGTGAGTCATTTTGCTTTGTTCCATCATAATCTAAAGCCAAAAAATAATGAATCTTTGGCTCCATTGCAAATGATGGAAATTATGGATTTCACATCCATGACAAGTAAATTGATTCATGCAGAACTTGATAGCAAAGTTCATGATTTGGACAGAATATACCTAAAGACTTAAAATTTTCTGCAAGAAGAAGTCCACAATGTGAATCCAGTAGTTGACAACTGGTAGTACCATCAATGTTAGGTAGCTGGAATTCCTTGAGATGAGCAACTTGAAAGGGGGAAGGCACAGAGCAAAGATCACTTGCATTAATAGATGAATCTGGGCCATGCACATTTCCTGGTTCCCCTACTAGATCAACTACAAATTCCCTGTTAAGAAAGTATAAACAAGCTGCAATCGATATTCAAGCAGACTCTGAAGCTTGTAACTAATGGGCTCCCCATGCATGGACTGTGTATGACGCCGTATGCACTATGCAACCAAACATTTAATGTAACAGTATACGGGAAAATAAATATCACAAACTTATTGCACATGAAATAGTGATGGAAGTCAGGCTTGAATCCAATATACTTGCTAGTTCAATTCAATGCCTTATTAACCTATCAATCTATTATCTCTCCTTATTTTCAGATGTGGGACTCTTTTTTAATTTTTTTGACCTGGGACTCTAACGTACAGAAAACATGAAGCAACTTCTCTAAATTCCTTAATGCTTCCTCGGACACCCTACTCTAGTAGTAAGCTTGACATCTTTAAACATAAGGAAAATTACTTCACCAAGCATTTTTTCTGTCATCCACAATCTTTATGAGACATGAAGACCGGTGATCTTCAACACAATACTTGCAACCTCTAGCTATTCTGCATGGCAACCCCACATAGTCTGCCAATTTCTGTAGAACAGACAAATAATGATTATGACCACATAGAAATGAATGCGGAAAAAAACGAATGCAAGATGAGAAAGGCCAAAAGTTTTAACGGCCTTTTCGCAATAAGTAAACAGTGGGCCTTAAAGAATCACCTTGAACAAAACAGCCCTATGCCTGCAAAGCCCTGCAGATAAATTCCCAATTGGGAGAACGATGCACCTATGAATATCCTTAAGCCTATTGCTGAGAATTTCCCAGCGCTGGTAAAGATCACCTTGCTCCATGGGAAAAGATCCCCTTAAATTCAACAAAGTTGAGAGTCACATCATTAAGAGGAAAATGAAGGTAGAAGAAGTGTGCCACTTAAAAACACACACTCACCCCATATGGACAGCAACTAGTTTTCCAAGCTTTTCTGCTAAAACAAGTGTATTCTCCGCAGCAAAAAATATCTCTTGAGCTTTATCTTCTAGTTCCCTGAGCTTAGCATCCCCACGCCGATCAATGAGAACCACTTCCATAGACGTATCACTGTGGTCAGTACCTTTAAGTGCCATCAGAGATGGTAATCTACTACCTTCCTCCATGTTATTGCACATCACCCACAAATATGGATTCATTCCCAAGATGTTATAAAATCCATCTGTTATCTTATCAAAATATGACAAGCACCCACTTACCTGAAAAATTTGAATGTCACACTTATTGATTGAGGTGTGCAAAGAACAATTCACAAACACTACTGTTAATTTTGGCAGGAAAACCTCATTCACAAACACCTTATAGGATTTGATGGAGAAATATAGATTAAATACTCTGTACGTACCCAGAGGCGGAAGGACACGGTCTGAGGATCAGAAGATACTGGTAGACCCTTGACGCTCATGCATTCTTGCAGAGGCTCATCAATAGCAATAGTTGCTTGCTCAACAATGCCTCTGGCAAGCGTGAGCTGCAAGTAATAGCTCTCCTTCAACCTCAGAACCACTTCATTCTCATCTGGGCCCGAGTTGATCGACGTGTGTGAATCCTTGAATCCAGTATTCGGCCACTTCCCATCCGATGTTGACCCTGAAAACAAACTCAAAGCATAGCTAGTGCTGCCCGCACTTGAAAGCCGCTGCAAGGATGCTTGCCTCTCAACATCAAGTCCTGTCTCCTTCCCCGGAACCCTAACGTGATTGCTATCAGTAACAGGTGGCCGCTGCAATGCGGCTTGCTTAGCCAATCCCCACCCGCCATTCTCTTTCCTAGACGATGCCCCAGTGGGTAGACATCGTAAAGACGAAGCATTTTGATCCTTCGGCCTAATTATTGATGGTTTGTGATCACGTGATGGACGGTGGTCAGAGGAAGCAACTTTTGGCACCGCCTCCGGTGGAGTTGGAAGCAAGAGGAGGCTGTATTCATGGCCGTCCTCATCCTTCACACCACCATCTTCGTATCCTACTTCGAATTCGGCTTGAGGAATCTGATGCTGCGATGATTTGTCTTTAACCTTTTTCTCAGTCAGCCAGTTGACAAAAGCAGTCAATTGCTTCCCGTGAATTTTGTCTCCTCCAGTGATGCTTTCAGACGCATCAAAACGGGAGGAAGCGTATGAAACTTCACCACTGTCATCCTTTCCAGACTTTCCTCCATTTTGACCCCCTCCGGTCTTCTCGTGATCCAAAAGGAACTTTGACGACGAAGACGCGCCGAATCCGCTGCCTCTGTCTGGAAATTGCCTCGGAAAGAAGTAAGTTGTTCTGTGCGGCATTATCACAAACCTCACGTGAACTCCAAAAATGCTCACGTGAACTTTACTCCAAAAGAAGCTCGCCCTCACGCTTTTCTCTCTCTCTGGAGACAGAGACTTGCAAGCTTCAACGATAACGAGTCAACAACGCCTCCCTACCGCAAAAAGCTTAACGAATTCTGCAAAATTTAACGACTGGAATCAAAGAAGACGGAATTAAAAATACATTCAGCTACACCTCCTTTAGCAATCAAAGCTTAAAGTAATAATGCAGCTAGTGTATATTGTTTATGTGTATCAGTGTATGTATAGAACTATTAATCCGTGGAAGCCTCGCTTCAGGTTTGATCCTCCATCATCGATCGTTTGCATAAAATAATCACCTGCATGCTAGCTGCACAGACGCACAGTACGTATATGATATATAAATCTATATGAACAGATATGTCCGTAATCACGGTTTTTCATATGAACAGATCAGACAGAGAGATCCAAATAAACTCATAATCAAGTGAAATTGGCATACCTTTTAATATCAGGAATTGAAGGAGAATTTCACAGCAATTTAATCAACAAAGTATGTGTATGTATATATTGAAGAAGAAGAGATTAGCGGGTGAAGAAGACGGCTATGATGGAGAGAAGAGAAGGAAAGAGAAGGAAGCAAATGAATATTTTAGGCGATTGCTTATTTATTTATTGATTAAAGAGCACGCAAGTGGGCGACTGACTAACTGATCGAGGAATGGGGGAAGAAAAAAAAAATGAAAAGAAGTGGGAAAATTGAATATAAAAACGCGCGAGGGGCTAACGTGCGCTGCATGGGTAAAGGCGCACCGGCTCCTGTCATTTCCCCTGTCATTAGCCCACGTCACGGTTCGTCCTCTAAACTGTTGACGCGTGTGCTGTGACTTTGGCGCATGTTAAATGAAATTATATCACATCCCAAAAGGTGACAACTCCGGTACCTTTCTAAAAAATGGGGTACAGTACCTACCATTCATTTGATTGGATCACACCACTTTATCATTTTTAATTTAGATTTAAATAATTCAACTGCTACATTCTCATTGGTCCATGTGGACAAAGGTATTGTACCTTATGGGTACCATAGAATCTACCATCCCAAAATTATGTGCTTGATAATGAGTCGATAAAGTGAGAATAAAGTAGAAGTGAATTAGAGTCACACAAATATTATCAATTATGATACTCCCTCCGTCCCATAAAATTCTTCCCACTTTTCTTTTTAGACCGTCCCAAAAAATTCTTCTCACTTACCATTTTTGGACAATTTATGTGGTTCACATTCATTTCATTTTTTTCTTACACAACCACAACCATACATTTCCACTTTATTCCACTTTCTTAATCTCCGTGCCAAGTCAAAATGGAAGAATTTTATGGGACGAAGGTAGTATGAGACAATAATAAAGGAACATTCAAAAATGAAAAAACGAGATAATTATATGGGCAGAGGAAGTACTCTTTATAGAGTACTACGGATATATAAATTGTGGGAATTTGTTTGAAATAATATAAAAGTCTAAAATAAAATTACAATATTTCTCTTAAAAAAGAATATGAGTGATATCTTAAGAATATACTGTTACTTTGTGACATTATGTGATATTAAGTACTACTATAACAGTAAATTATTACGAGTATAATTAACAATTTTTTAGAATACTGTACGTAGTTATAACAGTAATTTTTTAATCATATTCAGAGAGTTGAAACAATATTGTATATTTGTATGTCTACATTTGTGATGTCACATTTTAATTTGTTTGCATTCACTTTAGAACTATATATTACACTCCTATTCAAATTCTACAATATTTATGTAATGTTTACATACGTTGTTGCAATTGAGATCATGACAATATCCATGTATTGGTTTCATCTACCAATCGATAGAGATATATACCATTTTTGTGAGAGTAGAGAAATTCTTGACAATTATTTTTCTATCAGTAAATATGTCAATAAAATGATTTATAAAGTGGCATTTATTTTGTGATATGGTGATATTATTGCTTGATGATTGTAATTTGCTTCATGAAAGCAATGTCACTTGACAAAATGACATTTTTAAGTTACTGAAGTTTCATACTTATACAGCACATTTAATTTGTTAAGTTTAACGTAAATTATCATCATTTTTAATACTGATAGAGTATTAATCCTAGAGAGAATTGAGAGATAGAGAGAGCAGTGAACAATTAATATTTTAATACTCTATCAAATATAGTCTCACTTTTATACGTACAAAACATATTAAGTACACCTATTTTTCCTTTTTTTTAACATTTCCTTATGTTTAATATATATAATCTCACTTTTATTTTTATTCAGTGGCGCACAAAAATCATATTAAGGTGATTATCTACTCACATTTTTACTTTGAAGTTGCGTACTACTGACCACTTAATATGGTTAAGTTTAAGGTAGATTCTATGATACTCATAAGGTACCATACCTTTGTCCACATGGACCAATGAGAATGTAGCAGTTGAATTATTTAAATCTAAATTAAAAATGATAAAGTTGTGTGATCCAATCAAATGAATGATAGGTACGGTACCCCATTTTTTAGAAAGGTACCGGAATTTAATTCGACTGGTAATAACAAATACGTATAGAAAAGGTTAACCTATAATATAATTAAACGTGATTATCCCACTTAGCTTGCCCATTCACAAATCTAAACACTTTTGCCGCAAGAATATATAGGTGTAGGTTAGACTATGCGTGGAAGAGCTGGCCGGTTTGGTTTCGTGATTTTTGTCATGAGCTAGATCGTTAGTTATATAATTCCTGCATGCAACTGTCTATTTTTCACGTTTATCAACGCACAAGTTTACGGTTAACCAATCATAAAAAAACGGTTCATGGTGCGGTTCCCACTGCCACGTAATGATAAAAAACCTAATTGTGCTTCATACAGAATCATCTGTATTAATGGTGCACTCGGGCCGGGTGGGAAGTGACCGAATACCAGATTGGAATATACATCCGATGTCAATTGCACCTTGGTTGAAGCACTTCACTAGTTTTGAAATATGAAAGAATTAAAATATGAAAGGGAGAGGTCATTCAGAAAGGCAAGGTTCTTTAATTTGAGACTTACCAGACTAATGGGCTTATTAAATGAAGCAGATGAACCCGCTAAGAATGGGCTGCCATCATTCAGCAAATTCATTAACTTTTTTAAAGAATTTCAGCACTAAACTTAGATGTTGATGTGCAATGTAGTTTTTGTTAAGAATACTATTGGAAAAATGTGTTAAAAAATTGCATTAAATGGTCATTTTGGGGTAATTATTTGAGTGGGGTCCACTTCCGATTTGGGTCGGTTCAAAGTGGTTTCGGATTGTTCTTGTTAAGGGCTACAATTCGATATATGATACGCTCAAAACGGATAGCGAGTGAATGAGAAATTGATTCTCAAAGTTCACCCGTTGAAATGGAAAAACTTGGAAAATGATGGGTTTCTAGTGTGTTTTATACCACACCGGAAAACTCAAGGGATTTTCACCCCTTATAAAGGGAAGCCTCTTTTAAGGGGAGACTCTCTCTTACGCGAAGGGGGGATGCCGATCAAATTCCGAAGCGTAGAAGAAAAACCGCGACTCGTGTGCGCTGGTGACCTGCGGACACGAATGTCGTCCGAAAATCTATCATTCAAAGGTACGATTTCATTTTTGTTTCTTCCCGTAACGTTTTATTTTTCCCAGCACCAGAAATGCTCAACGGACAGAACTGCTCCGGACCAGAGAGCGAGGGTCTCTGTTGGCTTCGGACCGAACTGCTCCGGACCAGAGAGCGAGGTCTCTGTTGGCTCCGGACCAGAGAAGCCCTGGGGTGTTCTGGTCGCGCAAGTCTGCCGTGACGGAAGTTAATGCCCAACGTTCTTATCTTTTAATGCTGCCTTAAATGGACAGTTTATGGACGATTCAATGCCCAACGGACTGGTCATTGATGTCCAACGTTCAGATCCATTAACACTACATTTAACACACAACAAATCCTCCACTAAATAGTTGGCAGGTGCTTTGCAACAAACACACGTTCACTAGCAATCTGCACGTAATTTTTAACTCTAATAATACTTCCAGCTACTCCGAAATTTCCTGAGTGTTATCCTTTGTTCCCGTTCGACGGAATTCTCGTTTGTGTGCTCAAACGTTAGTTCTTTAGCCACCGTATCCTGGAAAACGGTCGTCGCAACGCTCCTAGCACCGTGGGAGGCGACGAATACGTTTTAAGGACATCGTGCGTAGCACCAGCTCTGGCTAAACTCTGTCCCATCTCTTTTTCCTGTTTTTCCTTAGCTATTTAAATTAATTAATTTGATTTAATTAATATTTCTTCGTTTTTCCGAGACACACCCAACAAATACATGCCACATGCATGTGTGATCATCCCAGTTCATTGCTATGACCAACCATATTTTGTTTTAATAGTTTCACAGTAAATTTGCTTTTCTTACAATACAAAGTATGCATTGCTTGCAAATCACTCATAAGATGCAGCTGTTGGAAACAAGATAGTTACTTAAAATGAATTTAAACGTTCATTGTTAAGAAATTTGAATTTAGAGAAGGGTTTCTGGCAGAATGTATATTCAGAATGTAATTTGAATTTAGAGAACGGTTTCTGCATGATTTTATATTCAGAATGTATCAATTAAAAAAGGGAGAACCCTCGTTGCAGGATGTTGCAGTCAAGGACTCAAGGTGCTATCTGTCCAAGATTTTGAAGATGACCAATTAAAGGAGTTTCTAAGGGAGGTATGTGCCTGCATCAGTGAAGCTAAATGATCAAAGCCTCTTGTTTATTTACTTTTTTCTTCTTCTTTTGTTGCCATTCATGATTTATTCATTTTTATGAGGACTCGGAAAATATAAAGGAGAAACTGTCACATAATGCTTCTTTGTAGCTGAATCTTTACATAAGAAGTTTTGGTAAATGGATTTCATGCATGTATATTAAAGTGTTGTTATACCTTTCTAGACATTACAGTTTGTTTTATCTCCTACATTGCATATCTATCCATAGTCGTAGAACCATAGAAGTACCTTATATCAGGTGGACAAAAAGTTGTGGGAGTTCCATCATGAGTCTCTGCATATGTGCTTTGTGTTCCATGATTTTCTGAACAAATGTTAACTTTTAGATGTTGATTCAAGAAACTATCTTTTGAAGGATGCAATAATGAAGTGTGTCCGTCATCCAAATGTGGTTCTCTTCATGGGTACAGTCACTAAACGTCCACATCTATCCATAGTGACCGAATATCTACCTAGGTATTTGGTCCTACATATATGTAGCATAAACTCCCAAAATCATTCTGAATGCTCAGTATTATCATTGATATCATCATTATCATTACTGTTATGATCATTATATTTATTAATATCTAAGAACTTTTTTGTCTGTCTTTTGGATGCAGGGGAAGTCTATATCGCTTAATACACCGACCAGCTAATGGGGAAATGATGGATCAAAGGAGGCGCTTACGAATGGCTTTGGATGTGGTTTGTCCTGACGTCAAACATTGTCTCTTTTCTCGATGCATGCATTTTTTTTATGATACACATATGAAAAGCAGGTCAAGGGTATCAACTATCTTCATTGCCTTAGCCCCCTGTGGTTCACTGGGATCTTAAATCTCCTAATCTCTTGGTTGACAAGAATTGGACTGTGAAGGTTAAAGAATATGCCGCTATTATGTACTGTACTGAATAATGAAATTGTTTTATCAACATTGCTTACTTTATCTTATGTCATCATTTTGCTCAGGTGTGTTATTTTGGTCTATCAAGGTTTAAACCTAATACATATGTTAGGTACCTGGCACAGATCGGAGCAATACAATAAACTAACAAGCACAGGTCTAATGAATGATAGGGAAAGAGTGTTTATTGATGGAAGGAGATAAACCATAGGCTACATGGACTTCTTAGGCAACCGGGACTTAGGCAACAAGGCAACAATTCTCAAAATAACAGTCTACCCATTATTAGCTACCCAACTTACTATTTATAGTAGTAGGTCCACGCAGGGACTAAAATAGAAAAGCAGACTCATTAAATGACCCCAGCCCACTTAATAGACCTCAGCCCATTTTATTTCTCCTTTCAAATACCCAATTAAAATACTTAAACAGGCAGATTCCTAACAACATACATATCTTCCAAATCAGTTGCAGGAACTGTAAGTCCTTTCTAGCATTTGCATACAGAGTATTTAGATTCAGCCTGTATATAAAGCCTAATAATAAGCTATTTTTGTATGGGAAAATGAAGTTACCCTCTTGAGGTTATGTTATACGGAGTAATTGCTAACCTACCTAGTTTTCAAAAGACAATTAGTTACTCATTAAGTCTAATATTTAACAAGTAAAATGTATCTCATTTGACTCCATCCAGATCCAAGCCTAATAAAAAATGTCTAAAATGTCCATTTTAAAACCAGCGCTCGTTAGGCGCTAGTCGGGCGGTGACTGGTCACCTAGCGCCTAGCCCGCCCCCGCCTAGATGCAGACTAGGGCGCACATGTATTTCCTTTATATCTTTGCTTTATTTATATTTCCAAACAATTTTAGCAATATTTACTGATAATTTAATAATATTTTGACAATAGAAATAGCTCATATAATCATTAAATGTTAGTACCTCCGTCCCGCTATGTTTGTCCCATTTTATCTTATCGGTCCGTCCCAATGAGATTGTCTCATACCAAATTTGATAAGTTTGTGTGGCTCTAAATCATTCTTACTTTATTCTTACTTTATCAATTCAATATCAACCACATAACTACTTTTTATTAATTTCCGTGTCACTCCCTCTTGCCCCATTATTAGCGGGACGGAGGGAGTAATTTTTTTTGTAGTAAATTATCAACAATAGAATAATTAATAGATAAATTGACAGATTTGTGTTTTTTAGTCTCTAAAAAGTTTATATACAAGCTAAAGGGTTAAATAGGCCCTCGAACTAAAAAATATAGGAATAGAATTCGTATTGATCAAATGATGTTTTAAGACAACGAAGAAACTAAGTTGGGTCGGGAACAAATTTATGGTGAGCCGCCTAGGTTCCTAGCCGATCTTTCTCACTGATAACAACAAAACTGGGGTGTCCGGCCACCGCCTAGCGACTAGGTGGCGCCTAGGCCGATTTTTAGAGCCATGCTTAAGAGTAATAACATTTATTCTTAAGCGATTAGTGTGGCTTTTTGTTCCATTGCCATGGCTTATGATCATGAATAAGAAGTGATTTGACCTTAAGAGATAGATATTTTAGACAATTTCCTTCAGATTTTGTTTCCTTTTTTTCAAAGCTCAATAGCTTACGAAAAACAAGATTAGACTACTGTTAATGACTTAAAGTTAAGGGGTAAACCTATTTTTTTTCCTTTTATATTGTTCTTCTGAGTACTTATGGAATCCAACATGTTGATGCAGCTTGAGTGAATTGCCCCTGAATTTCTTCGTTGGGTACCATCAAATGAGAAGTCAGATGTGTACAGTTTTGGTGTCATTTTGTGGGAGCTTATTACCCTTGAACAGCCTTGGTCTGGACTCTGCCCCTCTCAAGTTTGCATACCTTTCTCTTCATGCTTTGTTGTTTCTACTTCAACTTTTAAAATTTCTTCCTCAAGGATGATCCGAATTTTGACCAATTATCAGGTGGTTGGAGCTGTTGCTTTCCAAAACAGAAGGCTTTCTATGCCAGAGAACATTTCTCCATTAATGGCATCTCTTATTGAAGCTTGTTGGGATGAGTAAGCTCTCAACTTCCATTTTGTCAACTGTATTTCTTGCACCATTGCCTCATGCTGAGAATCAAGAACCCTACATGTTTGTCTATGAGAAAGCCTGGGGCAACCCCCACCTGAGTTAGTCGGGCAGCGTAGGCATGGCAACCATTTGGTTCCAAGTTTTATCCCCGGTTTCTTGGTTTGGGACCATCGGCTATAAATTATGTTAGGCTGACTTATCTCCTTATTGTCCTTCTCCTGCTAGGGTCACCAGTTGGATACAGGTTCTTCCTCATTTAAAAAAATGAAAAATGAGCATTTTTTGCTTACTAGATTAGATGGTAACCCCGTGTGGTGGGTTGCTTTATAGTTTTGGACGCATGTGTGCATGTTATTTTTTTGGGATGATATATATTTACAGGTTCATAAAGAAACGCAAAGTGAGCATTTGAAATTGATACGAGTACTTCACTACTTTAAAAAAACAAAAAATGAACATTTTTGGCTTACTAGATTAGATGGTAACCCGGTGCGGTGGGTTGCTTTATAGTTTTGGACGCATGTGTGCATGCTATTTTTTGGGATGAAATATATATTTACAGGTTCATAAAAGAAAATGAAAAATGGGCATTTTAAATTGATACGAGTACTTCGTTAACACACAATGCGAAGATGCAATCCTGAATCCTATATTATGGATACGACTGAAAATTAAAATGGACTCCTTTATGAAAGCTTACAGGGAGTCATTGTTTGTTCATGGAAGTGAAAATTTCCTAAAAGTTAGGGGGTGAGTGATTCTACTTATTGGGAGTGTCTTTTGTATGACAAAGTTTGTTTTAGTTTCTTTGAGAACTCAATAGAATTGATATTCTGGGTGGAGATTATTGAAGCAAGAGTCAGACCCACTAGAATATAGCTACTCTAGTTCAATTGAATTCAATGCCTTCAAATTCATGCATCTCTATATAACATGTAGTATATCTGATCCAATGTCTATTTTAACTATCTCAAATTCTAGCTACCCTAGAAATAAATTTGTATTATCAGCGTATCATGTAATTCGTATGTGCAATTCATTGGTTGCATCCTGTTTAAGCTCTTCTCCCTCACAATGCGACTCTTTGTGCAGTGATCCCTCCAAACGCCCGACCTTTGGTAGTATTGTGGAAACACTGAAGAAGCTACTGAAGTCTCCCCAAAATTTGATTCAGATGGGAGGGAAGTAAAGATTCCCAGCTGTTAATGCAGCTTTTGAAGAATTTTAACTATGATACTTATAGAGAGAAGTGTGCAAAACACCCGAAAAGGAACACTATGAAGTCATAAAGTACAAATATTTGTTTTCTAAGTCATCGAGGAGATACCACCACGAGAACATAACCGGGTTATGGCTGAAACTTGCATATCACACACACAAAAAGTGCAAGGGCATTTGTATTGTAATTCTTGCCGAGGAGCATCAACTGGTTGGGTCTTTGACATACGTAGTACAAATTTGTTGTTATCAAGAATGTTTCTGAGCGTCACCTGGGAACTTCATTATACCAATTTATACCAAGTTTCAGACATATTTTATGAGTCCGTAGTTAAGAACATTCCAAACATAGTTTAGTTGTCGTCATCTCTTGTCTCTCGCGTACTTTTCTGTGTTCATACGTACTGAGAAGCAATGAGAGTTGATGAATAGAATAAGTGAATCTTGAATCAGTGAAGCCATGTTCCCGCTTTGTCCCGGATAAATAAAGTACTAAGTATTATACTCGCAACTAGTAGCGACTAAAAAATTATAAGTAATACTCTGTAATCATTATTTGTTATTTTTATTTATTCATTTGTAGTACTTCAAGTCTACATCTGTTTGGGATTTCTGAATTTTGGAACCACGAATAAACAGTTCTGTTTCGGTTTCAAAGCAGGAATAACATTCGTCTATTTCATGGTAACATTCAAAAGTATCTAAAATCTTATAAAAGCCAACGAGAGTTGAGACATTTTAGGTAATTGTACGTTACATTTTACAATTATCACGTGCTTCTGACTTCCTCAGTTAAATTAAGAAGCTAGAACATTTCCTCCTCTCTCACCATCAACCTTCATTTGTATTAACACTTTAATTTACTCTGTATAATTTACTTTCAACCTTCTACTTTTTATCTGTAATTCTGAGCGTGCAATTAAATCATCGTTACAAATCGGAAGCTGCCCTTTCATCTTTCCTCCTCACTGTTCTTCATGTCAGAGCGTTATTTCTTTTAATTTTTTGATTTGATTTACTACCATTGCTCTTTCATAGTTATCAATGAACATCTATATTTCAATTTAGATTTGAAAAATGTTGTTTCATTGGTAAGAGTTACACACATGATACAACTGCAATCAAATAAAAAATTATAGGGTTAAATATGTTTTTAGTTCCTGTAAATATGACATACTTTGTTTTATGTCTCTGCAAAATACTCTTTGTTTTTCATCCCTGAATTTTATGTTGGTTTCTTTGTAGTCCATGACTAATGAAAATAACCTCTGTTTGACAATAAAAGAACTCCGACCAATAGGTTTTATCTAATTCTTTGTCATGGAATTCAAAAAGTATTTAATTCATTTTTAGAAGGTTTTTAATATATATTTTGAAAATGGAATAATTAGTTTTATATTGTTTTAACTCTCATATTAATCTCAATGATATACATAGTATATTAGAGGTGAACTAATTTTCATGAATTTCAAATTAATTTGATGTAGTGTCAGTACTGTAGCAGAGAAAACTAGAGAAGATGATGGTTGACTGAAAAAGTTTTTAAAAAAGAAAAAATGTTTTGTTTCCATAACAAACAAGTAAATTGATGTGAGCAATAAACTTAAACAATTAATACGGAGTATGATATGCAGTTTATTCTTTCCTTACTAAACATGCGAAACCATAACTGCTCGATCGGTCAAATAAACTGCCAAGACAGAAGAAGACGTATATGCCTTTATCCACCGTATATTTGATCGCAGATTGCAACTTATTTTGGAAGACTATTGATGGAGTATATGGTCCGGGAACCCCCGGCCCACAGACTCCTACTACTCCAGCGAAGGCCCAACAGGCCCAGAAGGCCCAACAGGCCCAGATCACAGCGCCCAGAGTACCAAGCAGCCCGCACTACGCGCCAGGGGTGCCTTCGGCCCCCTGGCCGAAGGCTCTAAAACTCTCACAGGACGGGCTTCGCAAGCAAATTAAGAAACTGGGAGAAAACGGCGAAAACAGTAACCCTCGGCACTGTGAGCCCTCGGCACCAGAGTGCCATCGGTTGGAGGAGCCCTCGGCCATTGCTCTATAGCCGAAGGCATCTCACTCGACAAGATATCCGCCTCACATGCGTGCAGATCACCGTACCCTGCACAGACGTCCCATCCAACAGTCGCATTAAATGCGGCCACATGCGGCTGCCAGCGCCAACCAGTTGAGGTGACCCCTCGGCCAATGAGCGCCTGACACGTGTCCCTGCCCGGCATTTATTGCTACTATAAATAGCACCCCATTTCCCCATTTGGAACCACGCTGAAAACGGCATTCATACTGAATACACTCTCTCTCTACTTTTACTTACTTGCTCTGACTTCTCTCTAAGTTATTCCCCGTAATAACCCTTCGGATATATACCCCCGGGTAGACTATCCATCATTTGGTGCTCTCGTTGAGAGGTCGAACAATCGAGTAAGAAACCCTCCCCCTCGACCAAACACAAAACACTAGCCCTCTATCAAAATGGTGAGGACAACACGTGCCAACTCAAAGAACGTAGAAGACAAGAACCTGGCCCTCGGCGACGTCAACGCCCCCGAAGCCTCTCACAGGGCTCCCGAGGGCGGTGTCATCGCTGGGCTGGAACAGGCGGCTGTCGACCTACACCTTCAGATCCAACAAAATGCCCCCGATGCCCGCCTCAGCATCGAGGCCAAGAAGAAAAACCGGAGCGATGACCAAGTCAGCCCTCCGGTTCTCACCATCGACGTGCAATCGGCGCTCTCCGCCTTCATCCAGACGCTCACCCAGAACCCGGGTGCCTTCGGCACCCTAGCTCCAGCTCACCCTCAGGTCGGGGAAAATATCATACGTCCCCCTCTGCCGCACCCCTTCGGAAATCCCACCCCTCGGGTGAGGAACGACGAGGGGGTGGTGGCCCAAGATACGTCCTCCCAGGAAGTTCAGTCCCGGGACCGCCATAATGACAACAGGGAAAGGCCCCGTACTTCCGCCCTCAACCGGCTCGGAGGAGGGCCAGACCGCCGAGGGGTCCAAGACCGCCTCGGGGGGAAAGCACTCCAAAGGCCCCAGGAAAGCGGGGGATCTGTTTCGAGGGCAGACGAGGAGCGTCCCCCTCGGGACAAAGGCAAGGCACCCCTTCATGCCGATGATGCTCGGCACCAAATCAACCAGGCCCACTCGGCCCGGGTTCGTTCGCAGGGGGCGGAGACCCTCCCGAAGGATCCCCGGGACGAGATTATTGCGGCCCTCCAACGCCGGCTTGACGAGATGGAGTCCAACAAAGCTCACGCCACCACCTCCACCCCTCGTTCAGATCTCAAATACGAGGCCATGATGGCCAAAATGGAGGAGTTACAGAAGAAGGTGGCCGAGGGTTCCGGGGAACCCGTCATCCAGCTCCGGACTCGGACACCATTTACCCCAAGGGTATTGGCGGCCCGGATCCCGGAAAAATACCGAGGGCAACATATACAGCCCTACAACGGAAAAACGGACCCCTAGGAACATTACAGCAAGTACCAGAACAACATGATGATGGTAGGGGCGTCGGACGAATATTTGTGTTGTTGGTTCCTCTCCACCTTAGAGGGGCCGGCATACGAATGGTTCAACAGGCTACCCGAGGGCTGTATTGATTCCTGGCAAGAACTCGCCCAGCGATTCTTGACACAATTTGTCGGGAGGCGTCGCACAAGGAAGCACTTCTCCCACCTCCTAACAATACGCCATAAGAGGGATGAGACCCTTCGGGACTTCCTAGAGCGCTGGAGGACGGAGGCCGACAAGGTCGACGGTGCTGATGACGGGACCCTCCTGGCCCTCCTACAAACCGTCCTCCGCACCGGCAACTTTTCAAGGAGCCTCATCATTGAACCCCCCCCCCCGCGACTACATAAGGGCTTTGCAGCGGGGGGACCGATATGCTGAGGCCGAGGAGGTGGAGAAGTATCACCAGCATCCGGACCAGCAGCCCCCGAGGGCTGACAACAAGCATAACCGAGGGCCGGGGGCTCCTCCAAATCACCCCAAGTCTTCGGGACCCTCTGATGACCGCCCTCGGCAAGGCCAAGCCAAGCCCGGGGGAGGATATAAGAGCAACCCCAAGACTTGGGCACAGCCCATTCTCCTGGACCGCCCTCGGACACCATTGACGCACCCCGTCAGCATCATCCTTGATTTTGCCGAGGAGAGGGGCCTCGTTGAGTGTGATTCTCGCGCACCCCCGGAGGTACACGCTATCAACCCTCAGTTCCCCTACTGTCGCTTCCATCGGCACCAGGGGCACATGACCGATGACTACCATCAGCTGAAGACGGCCCTCGAAAGATTAATACAGGCGGGGCACATGTCCCAATTTGTCCAGAGCCCTCGGCAGGAGGGACCTTCTCATCAGGGACCTCCCCGAGGGCACCATACGAAGGTAAATGCCTGGGTAAATCCGAACACCATCCCCCTCGGCAAGAAGAGGGAGATCGGAAACTTGGAAGAAGAGGAGGAGGAGTACCCCCACTACCGGGAGAAGAAACGCCACATCCTCATGATCACCGGTGACAATACAGGGGGCGATTCCACCAGCCAACGAAAGAAGTGGGCTCAATCGCTTTACGTGGGGGAAGTCACTCATATGCCCCCGGTAAAGCGACTGAGGGAGGAACCCATCACCTTCACCAACGCAGATATCCCTCCTACTTCTTCTCCTCACAGGGATGCCTTGGTGATTCGGACGGAGATAAACAACACCATTATTCACCGAACTTACATTGACACGGGCAGCTCCGTCAATGTAATGTACCTCAGCACCTTCAGAGAGCTGCATCTGGAGAGGGGGTCCCTTCGGCCCATTAAGACCCCTCTTGCCGGCTTCACCGGCGACACTATTGATTCCGAGGGGGTAATAACCCTCCCGGTGATCTTCGGCGACGGGCTCCATAGAGCCCAGCTCGAGGTGGAGTTCGTCGTCGTCAACATTGACTGCGCCCACAACATCATCCTCGGCCGGCCAGCCCTCGAGGACCTCGAAGCCATCATCTCCATGAGGCATCTCTGCCTCAAGTTTCCCGCCGAGGGGGGAATTGGCTACTCCGGGGGAACCAGAAAATTGCCCGCGCCTGCTATCTTCAGGTCACTAAGAAGGTAAGCAAGACGGAATTCCGTGTTGACACCATCACCGGAACCATCGACCAAGAGGAAAGAAGGCCGAGGGCTGAACCGGCCGAGGACGTAGAAGACTTTGCGCTCGATCCGGCCCAGCCAGAGAGAGTCGTGAAGATTGGAGCCTAGCTCCCTGAAGATCTGAAGACCGGTATCACCGACGCCCTCCGCGCCTACTCCACTGTCTTTGCATGGGGGGCGGAGGACATGCCGGGAATCAGCCGGAGGGTCATCACCCACCGCCTCTCGGTGGACCCTTCGGCAAAGGCAGTGCAGCAACGAAGAAGACCCCTCTCCGCCGAGAGGAGGGAATTTGTGAAGAAGGAGGTCGCCAT